CCCCATCCCCCCCCCCTCCGCGGACGCCCCATGCTTACAATTTGGATATAAGAGTGTTAATAAAGTTTTAAAAGCTACTTCTTTAGATATTCGCTCTAAGAATATTTAAACATGGAATGGTAACATCAAAAGTGTTTTATGTTATACACCAACAGGGGGCTAAAAAAAAATACAACTCATCAGTTTCCGTGAATTCCCATATGGGGCATGCCTTTTGAAAACCCATGTATACACTGCTTAATGTGTTTAATGAGGTTCATATTAGATTATTTTTGGAATATTAATCTGACTCTAAAATCTTTTTGCAAAATTTTATCTAAATTTTAAAGCACCGCCGCTTATATTTTCTACTTAGTTTGAAAACCTTTTGCATTAATTAACTTATAATATTTTTAGCCGCGGAATAGCGGCTCATAGAATGGCTCTAGGTTTTCATTCAACTACAAACCTTTACCTCATAGCTCTATCTCTTGACCGAGTTGAGATCTAATTATAGCCGCGTCTATTGAGGATTCCCTCGTGTTCTGTCAGTCGGTGAAACATTGAGTAATACGGTTATTTTCTTTACTCAATAGCAGCCGTCCTCCTTCAGTGGCTCAGCGACAAATCTGACGGCTTGAAAAAAATACCGAGTTTCGATACCTCTGGTGGGCACAGCACAGATAACCCACTGTGTAGCTTTTTGTTCAGCAACAACCAAACAAATTTAACAGCACTGTCTGGAAACATGAATCCTGCTACTGTAACGAAACTAACGATTTAAAATTCTGTGACTTGAAGCTCAGCCTGTTTGTTTGTTCGTAATTAAGCACAAAGCTACACAATAGGCTATCTGTACTCTGGCCACCACTGGTATCGAAGCCCGGATTCTAGCGTTGTAAGTCCGCAGACATACCGCTGTGCCACTGGGAGGCAGTTCAGCTTGAATCTGTCATTAGTTCTTCTTTTTTTTTTTTTTCAGTTACCGTTTTGTTGGTGTATTACAACAGGGCTTCCCAAACTGGGTCCCGCAGGAAAGCGCCAGAGGAGCCATAGCAAAACCACAATACTGTTAATTATGTATCTATAGTCTCACTAGGTGTGTGTGGGGTGGGGTGTTCAGTCAGGATGCGAAATGTTTTGGATGACTTGTGCTTTGAAAGTTTAGGAGCTCTGCATGAAGATACCATATCTTCAATGGGCACATTCTACTCTACATAAAATGCAATGTAAGGTGACTTAATTATGTTGTGAATATTTTCTTCGTTGTTTAATGTTTGTTTTTATTTATGATAATCGAATACTATTTTTCTGTAACTGGACACATATATATACAGACGTACAGACTTTTTTTTACGGACACGTGCTACACAGATGTACAGTCCTTTTCTTATTGAAGACAAGCGAAGACTACCTAAGGATTTCAATACAAACATTTGTTATTTCAATTTCGCACATTAAAGCGTTTTTCAAACCATCAAGGATAGAGAGCGAATAGGTGGTTCAGCGGTAGGTTTGAGGGTTTATAACACTAACTGGAGAGTTCGATTCCCGTGGAGGCCAGACCGCACATCACCCAATGTGCAGTTTTGCAATTAAAACACAAAAAATCAGTAAAAAATAATGTGTCTAAGTTTTGCATGTGTTATATGAGATGGCCCCTTTTATTAAATGACCTTCTCAGGTAAAATTTATCTCGGCTTTCAAAAATTCAGCTAATACTTAACCACTCGTTCCTAGCCTCTGACTTGTGACCGTTATCATTGAAATATTATATACTAACAGTGATTACCAGAGCAGACAAAATCAAATAAAGGTTGACGTCACTCGCATGTGCCTTTCACCATACTCTACGTATTTTATAAAGGGGCTCGTCATTTGAACTTTAGACGTTAAATACATTAATTTTTATCATCGCGGGGGTGTGCACCATGCAAGAGTAATTTAATTATTTAGGATGAAAACAGATCTGTCAATAATTTCAAATTAAAATCGATTATGATTGTACATATATTCCAAAATTAAACAGTCAACATTTTAAGTCGCACAAAATTATTTACTTTTAGAGAGAGATTCTTTAGTCTAATGATTTTAATTAATTGTATTTCTCGTGAGACAGCTTAGAAAAAGCGCTCACATAATAACAACTGACGTTTTATATTTAATTATTTATCTAGCAAATGTATTCGGCAATGCCATGCATAAAAAAGTAATATTAATATTATTTTGAGACGTAGCACACGAACAATTTGTTCGATGCAAAGATATCCGTGCTACGCGTTGCACTGAGCGTCACTTTCGTATTTTGCTAGCAAACTCTTCGCTCAATATGAGCCCTCATTTGCGGAATTAAAACGTTAACGGTGAGATGATTGTCAAACTCGTACCATACTTAACCATTCAAACTCTGTGTTTAGAGTCCACCTAAGTTCCTTTGTCAAATGTCATCTAAGTTGATTCAGCCTGTTTCTCACAACAACTTGTAGCGCCACATATAACGAAAAATCTGCTCTTTAAGTACGGTTTTGATGCT